AAACGAAGAGATCCAGATTTTAATGTTATACTACACTGGTATATATCCCAATGCCACCATGCCATGACTCCATGACCGTTCATGAATAATATTCCCAGACACTACATCTTTCTCATGGTGCAGCCATGTGGCTGAATTTGTGAATGTAACAATGTTTGAAAATTATTTGCATCCAAAATGTTGCCCGAATAAGGAGAAAAAAAAAAAAAAGACAGACTTATAATTAGTCCCAGCAAGAACAAAGTGAATACTGTTTCGATTCTGGGTATTTTCATAGGGAGAACTTTATCACTCCCATTGCCCCAGTCAAAATGCAAATTAAGCACCTCATTTGTTTAAATTAGCCAGAGAAATAGATACACAGAAGCAAATGCTACTCCCACTAAAATCAATGTTGAGAGATCTGGGCTATGGTGCATATCTGATGGCACAGCAAGGTCCAAAGTATTATGTTAACAGTACTACAGCTTTAAAAGGTTTGCTTTAAGTGTTAGCAAAACCTTGGTCTTGAAATCTGTGCTGCAGGCTTTCTGAGCAAGCACTAAATGGAGTAAGGAGGTTGCTAAAATATTTTTTCTCCCTCTGCCTCTCACCCCAAAAATAGAAGCAAACATAAAAAGCAAAGAAATCTTTTCATTACAGGCATGGTTTTCCTTTCTTAGAACAAACCCATCCCTGTATGTCAGCTATTGTATGCATTGCAGCATCCATACCCAGGGTACCAGATTTTCAAGCAGACACCACCTGAGCCACTCCAGTGAAGAATAAAAAGCATACTTTCCAAGGGGAAGACACATCCTTTTAATAAAAAAAGTATGGGAATTCTATTTTTTACACTGTATTTTTTAATGCTGCCAATTAGGAAGCCTTGTAATGCCTGGAATGAACTTTGTATAAGAAATTCTGATGGAAACTTGGGTCTCTAGTTTTGGAATTAATGTAATAAAATTCAAAATCTAGAAATAAAAACCTGTAAGTACAAGAGTAAAGTTCATATTCTACTGCTTTGTCTGCAGTAAGAAATCTCTTTTGCACGCACTTCAAAACAGCATAAAAATTTCCAGTTGCGACCTTCATACAGGAGGATAGTCTCCATCCCCTGCTAGATGCAGGAGGCAACATGGTAACAAGTGATGAGGAGAAGGCTGAGGTGCTTGATGCCTTCTCTGCCTCAGTCTTTAATAGCAAGGTTAGTTGTATTGATGAAATCCAGCCTCCACAGCCAGAATACAGAGACTGGGAGAGCGACCCCCTGCAATCCAGGAGACAGTCAGTGACCTGCTGCATGACATAGACATACACAAGTCTATGGGACCAGACAGGATACACCCGAGGGTGCTGAAGGAGCTGGCTGGGGGGCTCGCCAGGCCATTCTCTATCATTTACGAGCAGTCCTGGCTGACCGGGGAGGTCCCGACTGATTGTAAATTGGCCAATGTGATGCCCATCTATAAGAAGGGTCAGAAGGATGATCCGGGAAATTACAGGCCTGTCAGCTTGACTTCGGTGCCCGGGAAGCTGATGGAGCATCTCATCCTGAGTACCATCCACAACACATGGACAACCAGATGCTCAGGCCCAGTCAGCATGGGTTTATGAAAGGCAGGTCCTGCTTGACAAACCTGATCTCCTTCTACGTCAGGGTGACCTGCTTACTGGAGAGAAAGGCTGTGGATGTTGTTTACCTTGACTTTAGCAAGGCTTTTGACACCGTTTCCCACAGCATTCTCTTGGCAAAAATCACTGCTCGAGGCTTGGACAATTGCACGCTTCGCTGGGTAAAAAAAAGGCTGGACGACCAGGCCCAGAGAATTGTGGTGAACGGAGTTAAATCCAGCTGATGGCCGGTCACGAGTGGTGTCCCCCAGGGCTTGGTGTTGGGGCCACTCCTGTTTAACATCTTTATTGATGATCTAGATGAGGGGATCGAGTGCACCCTCAGTCAGTTTGCAGGTGACACCCAGTTGGGTGGGAGTGTTGATCTGCTCGAGGGTAGGGAGGCTCTGCAGAGAGACCTGGACAGGCTGGAGCCATGGGCTGAGGCCAACTGGAGGAGTTTCCATAAGGCCAAATGCCGGGGGCTGCCCTTGGGCCACAACAACCCCCAGCAGCGCTACAGGCCTGGGGAGGAGTGGCTGGAGAGCTGCCAGTCAGAGAGGGACCTGGGGGTGCTGATTGACAGCCAGATGAACAGGAGCCAGCAGTGTGCCCAGGGGGCCAAGAAGGCCAGTGGCATCCTGGCTTGTGTCAGCAATAGCGTGGCCAGCAGGGACAGGGAAGGGATCTGACCCCTGTACTCGGCACTGGTGAGGCCGCCCCTCGATTCCTGTGTTCAGTTTTGGGCCCCTCACTACAAAAAGGACGTGGAATGACTCGAGCGTGTCCAGAGAAGGGCAACGAAACTGGTGCAGGGTCTAGAGCACAGGTCGTACGGGGAGCGGCTGAGGGAACTGGGGGTGTTTAGTCTGGAGAAGAGGCGGCTGAGGGGAGACCTCATCGCCCTCTACAGCTCCCTGAAAGGAGGGTGCAGAGAGCTGGGGATGAGTCTCTTTAACCAAGTAACAAGCAATATGACAAGAGATAACAGCCTCAAATTGCGCTGGGGAAGGTTTAGACTAGATATTCAGAAGCATTTCTTTCCAGAAGGGGTTGTTAGAGGTTGGAATGGGCTGCCCAGGGAGGCGGTGGAGTCCCCATCCCTGGAGGTGTTTAAGAGTCGGGACGATTTAGAGCTTAAGGATATGCTGTAGGTAGGAACTGTGCTAGGCGAATGGTTGGACTAGATAATCTCCACACCGCTAAGTGCCTTGGCCCATCTGATGGGGAGGTGTATTGCCTGCAGCTGTCAACGGACGGTCACCGAGTCTCATGTTGAGATGAGCCAGTGGTGAAAGGCTGTTAAGGAGCAGTTCCTGCTAGAAAGCCTGATAGAAGATGATCAATGTGTGATAACTCAGATACAACACTTCACTGAGATGTAAATGGGACTTCAGTGAAATGGCTCTGTTCTAGATAAACTGGGATTTGGTCTAATGAGATTGTTGGGACACTTGTTTATTACTGCCATTGCCAAGAGAGGACAAAACTGAGGGGTGAAAGTCAATGTTTTTGTAGTGATAAATGCCAAAATCCCCAGGGGACGTGAGGAGAATTTCCTGAATGTAGCCTTGGCTCAGGGAAAAGGAACGGGCTGCATGGGGAGCTCAGCCAGGAGCCCCACCTGGGGAGCAAGGATGTTGCCCATCTGCATCAGTGGGCCTGCAATGAACGCTCTGAAATCAACTATCATTTATGGCCTACATAAGCTGACATTGTGTCTTCATAGCTACTTCCTGCCAGAGAGACTCTTCTTTTTGTTATCATTATTATTATTATCTGGATTTGGTTTTCCGTTAGCAGTATTTGACCAATTTGTGCACAGTGGGCTTTCTTTGTATATTCTCGCCTACAGCTGCAGTCTTTTCTTTGAGAGATTTACACTCTATGAGGAGTTCAGCAGCTGGCCACAGACCTGGTTTACAAAGGGAAGGAGAAATAAACAACCAACTAGAAGAATAAAAGGACTCCATAAAGCTTTCAGTAGCCTATGAACAAACTGGAGGTGTATTTATCGGACTTTCTTCTTTTCCTCTTCCTGTCCCAGCATTCTCACCTCATCTGAGGTCGGGCACCGTTAACATACTTGTCATTTTTCCTTCAGACTTATTGTTATTAGATGATATTTATATAGATGATAATGGGGTTAAGAGAGAAGAAAGAAATTAAAGAAGATAAGAATAGGGAATACTGCAGTCTGAATGCACCTCATTGAGCCTTTGCTCACAGGTACTTGCATCATCCCCCACACCAAATTTCTTATGTTGGGAACCTCTATTTCACCTAAGATACTCTTCCTTTATGAGAGAGACACTTGTGCATTCTTTCCTTCTCACAGATAAGTTACATATTCTAAATCATTCATATGCTTTTTAATCATGTCTTTAGTGTCTAAGCATAAAGAAATCTAGCAGGGCTTCCCCCTTCCAATTAATTTTATCACTGTCCTTGTTTCTTCTCCTGCTTCAGTGAACACATAGTAGGTTTAGGCTAAGATAAATACAAGTAGAATGAAAAAGATAGAACACAAGGAACCAGAAAGAAAAGGGAGAAAAAGGGTTGCTTGATGTTGATATGATATCTGAGAAAGACAGCAAAAGAATTGCACCTCTAAAGTAAAGCCAGAATGACCCACATGGGAAGATGTGGAGTATCAGCTGTTGCACTAGTGGGTAACACACCTTGAACAGTGCGCAAATACCTCGTGATGCCAGGCTCTTATACAAGGTGTATTGTTTCCCCATTGTACCATCACACATGGGTTCAACCCTTAGAAATAATAATAAACCTTAAACAAAAAGGAAAACCTTAAAATCTAGAGTCAATCTGGAACACTCAATGATTATCAGAATGAAGGCTTGGGTGGAAACTAAACATTGGATCAAAATCGAGCTTTCCAAAACCATCTCTCTTTTGATAAGCACCTCCTCTGCTAAGCAGAAGACCAAAGCTTGCAAACCAGCCAGACAATATTTCCAAAGGGAGTTCTTAACTTGAAGGCATTTCAGGGCCTATCTGTTTCAATGTACTGTAAGGAATAATCAGCACACTTGAGGGAATGCCTCTGTTGAAGAATTTGCCTAATTTGCAAAACCAGGATGAACTTTCTCATCCAACTCTTCTACACAGTTTACCTAGCTCTTTCCTATCCGGATCCTCAATTCCCCAAACATTGATTGAATCACTCTTAAAAATCTTGTTGTTTTCTACTTTTCCCATTTTCTTTTCATTTTAATCCTCTTTTTAGACTGACCTGAAATATTTTTTCTACAAACATCACTAAGTAACTGTATAAGTTTAAACAAAAAAGGAAATATTGATTGACTTATATATGTGGGTTTATATATTTACATACATATATATGTATATACATACACATGTGTATGGTGGGAAGAAAAACTTACCTATGTCCCAGGTAAGGGGGTTATTCTGTTCCATTTCCCTTTTCCCTATGACATACCAAATGCAGGCCATCCAGTGAGCAAGCAAGGCAAACATGGACATGAGAAGCGTGAGAACGATAGTGCTGTGCTGGGAGTAACGATCCAACTTCTGAAGGAGACGCAAGAGGCGTAGCAACCGCACTGTCTTTAGGAGGTGAACAAGGGAAACCTAGGAGAACAGGGAAAGAAAGCAACTTGTCAGCAGTTGACTTCTATCACACAGTTCTTTGTTTCAATAAAAGGAAAGTCTATCTTCTAAAGCTCTATGAATTTTTGCCCACTCTTTATTCAGTTACATAGCTTCATATTATGTTTAGATTAAAGCTTAAAACAGCAGAGAATAGTAAAGATGGTTAAAAAAAAAAAAAAAAGGTATTTACGTTTGCTCTGTACATACATATTTACTACTCCTGACTTAAACAAAAAAAAAATCAAAATACTGGGAGATCTTTCATTTTGTCTTTTTTCATGCAGTCTTCTTTCAGATTTAACTTAAAAATCTGTGTTTGTGAAAGAAATGGATCCTTTCCCACTCTAGAAGAGAAGCATAATTGTCAAACTGAACAATGTTTGATTCCAATATGAAACTACAAAATAGACATCTTCAAGCACATGATGATTTTCAGTTTCTGCTAACAGCCAAACAGTAGGCCTAATTCAACTATGTATGAGATGAAACCAGCTTAATAATTAAGCCTGGAAGAGACAATAATATATAGTAGATATTCTGCAGAACAAGGAAGCAGAGAAGTGAGTGGAGAATCAGAATTTTTCTTCGGATTTAAACCTGTGTTCAGGGGCCTGGGCACATTTTACTGGGTTGTATTAAAACTTCTAATACTAATTTTGAAATTTCTTACCTAAAATATTATTGCCTTTCAAGTGTATGGGGTAAAAGCAACACCTAATCTGCTCAGCACCCTAAGTGTACATCAGTTTATGAAATGCATAAGTAATTCTCCCACAAGCTTCTTTATGCAGTATTCACTGTCCTTTATGTCTTTTTTTTTGTCTTTTTTTTTTTTTTTTCTCTCAGGAACCTTTACATTTTTTCTCATGTACATAGAAGGGGAAAAAAAGAAAATCAACAGAAACATGACACTTATTTAAAATACTTTGAAGTTCACTACTGTCAGGAATAAGATTTGACATTAGAGCACACAAACAGTTACAGGGTCTTCTCGCATTTCTTTTATCCATCTTGTGTCATCTACAATAAGTCAGTGAAATTAATTATGTCTGTGGCCTTAAGCACAAGGATATCTGCAAGTCTGGGACAGAAGGCTGTAAAATATTTGAAGGAATTGCCATATTGCCATTAATATGATCATATAACTATTAAAATATAATTATTCTAATTGAATGCCATGGAACTATACCAACTGCCTCTTTTTTTGTGGTAATTAATTTCCCAAAGTCTCCTTTTCTTTTCTCACATCAATTTGCTTGAATCAAATATGGTTTTAGTTGCACTCTTAAGATAAAGGGGTCCCTATTCATGCATGACTCTTCAAGGTGTTTTAGTAATATATAAAAATAGATATAATGATTCTATATATAATGATTGTATATGTGCTATGGAGCCTTCATCTTTACATGGGTGCCTATGTTCTACTATATCACAACCAAATAATGATGACTTAGGTGAAATGATTTTTTAATTAGATTTTCACAAATATGAAACTTCAAAAGGTTGGTTACAATAAGTGTGCCCTTCCACTTATCACTTGTGACTAAATTCTGACCATTTTTAAGTTACAGAACATTAATAGATATAGAAACAGTGAATCAGATAACATAATGTTCTTCTAAACACGGAGTCATGTTTCATTTTAAGGCCTAAAGACCACCTAATTTCAAAATAATTTCTGCATACATTTAAACAAAGTTGTACTTAATCTTATGTAATTACACTGGATTTTCTCATTAGTCATGCTAAACACTCTTCTTGTATTGTGTCCAATTTGTTATTGGAAGACCTGAAATGCCATTAGGCAGCTTTCTTTTCTGTGTCACAAATTTAGAAAGACAAAATGAGGATTCAGCACTCTTATTTGTGCCTGCATAGGTTTTGCTTTGCCCACAGATATAAAACCATCTAAATTTTCCATTTGGTTAATCATTTTAGACTAGCTGGGTTAACCTTTTTCTATCAAAATGACAGAACTTTTTCTAAACCTAACACAAACTCAATCACAGCATAGTGTTGAGAAGTACTGAGAAACAGAGTTGCTACAAACTAGTGATGAAATTCTCTGCTTGAAAGAATCATCTCCTACAGCAAAAAGGAATTAATAAGGAAACAAGATACATTTTAAGAAATTACTAGCGGTAGGGATCTTTAATCCTTTTTGTCTGCTTGGTTAATTGGTTTTCCTCAAAAAATTATACACTTGCTCTAGAACTACCAATAGTTACTCAGAGAGGAGCAGATTCAATCATTGTAACTTAATGGTCTGTTTTTCACTTTGGCAGCATTTCACACCACATTTCCACAGATTAAGGGATTCTTTACGTCAAATGAATACACAGACGGAAGGAGCTGGGCTCTCAGCAGACACTGAGGTAAGGCAGGAACGCCTCAGACCTCCCAAGAGTCACCCATTTTGTGACAGGGCAAAATCCCTGCAAGGTGTAAAGGCAGTAGAGCCAACTCATACAGTTTCACATTTTTTCTTTCAAAATATCTCCAAGGATGGCGAGAGACTCCACAGCTTTTTCACGCACTCTAACTCCACAAATCTCCAAAGGGAGGATGACATTTATGTGCCATACATACCTATGTATGTATGGCACTATACCTATAGCTTGCAGAATTTAGAGCATCCCTAAAGGTTTGGCCTTTATGCTGGGGCCTGAACAGCAAAGGAGTGAGATGCTCCCTGATGCCCCTTCTCACCGTTCTGTTGAGGCAACATCTGAGAGTCGATGGAGTGAAAATCTGAGAACAAACATGAGGAAATGGCTTATTAAATCATAAAGTCTGAAAACAGTGGAATGTGATTAACACCTCCCCCCATTCTTGAAACAGTTGATAATCATTGTTATCTTGAGGATTATATTAACAGTTGCCAAGTTTTGCCTCGATGGGAAATATGATATAGTAAGGCACTGTGTTCCCATCAAGCAATTATATAGTGAACACAACTGAGTTTGTTGGGGTGAATGCAGAATGCAGAATCCCAAATTATGGATTTGCTCTGAGTTACCAGAGGTGAGAAACGGTTGGCCCTTGATTCTCTATTATTTGGTGGTCTTTACATATAGCAGTTAGCTATCAATGTTGAGACAAAGCAAATGAAGGAAGCAGACTGGATCTTGCTAAAACTTTTTAACAAGTTATTTCACTCTTGGAGCATTCAGAGATCTATGCCTGTCAGTCAGTCTTAATTTTGAGATCAACATGGCTATATATTGTTTTTTAATTGGGGCTTAGTGTTAGGTCTTAATCTAACATTAATCACCTCATTAAAGATCCACTACTAACAGAGGCACAATTTGGTGCCCCTGGATATTCTTAGTCACCATATTAGTTATCTTATTCAGGAAAAAATTCTAAAAGTACAACAGACAGGAGGTGTGTATTATATTATAGTAGCATTTTTGATATTGTGACATTTTAACAGTAAAAATAATAATTAGCTAATACTTTCTTTTCCAGAATTCAGCATGGAACATATATCAGTCTTCCCAATGAAAAAAACAAAAGAAAAAAAGATCAATTTGGGGATTTTAATTTTCTCCTTGAAGGAAAAGATCAAACCTGGTTCGTTTAATGAAAAATACTTAATGGACATTAAACCAATAGAGTTATGCTGGCTGTTTGGTTTTCATGTAAGGAATAAACTGAAATAGTAGTGTATTTAAATAAATTACCCAACAATTATAAAAAAAAAAACCCAGTAATTTAAGAACATGGAACTATTAACTGTCTGTTTTTAAAAGTTACTGCACTAGCACCAAATTGATGGTTCTTAATGTAGCAAATGGAGTGAAAAGAAAGATCATTGAAGGCAATGGAATGAAATGATAAAATCAAAATTACCTTACATGGGAGGCTTCCTGACTAATGTTTTTCTACATTTTGTTTTTTATATCTGTCTATCTTATCATCTATGTACTTGTCTGTAATTCACATTTAATGAAAACGGGATTAAGTGCATCTGTTTACAAAAGATCAGAATTTTGAGAATTAGAAAGTGGACAGCTTAAAAACCTGTCTCTTATGTGAAAAATCCACAAATTTTAGAAAGCTTTGCCAACATTTTTTCCCAAAATTAAACTTACTGATTTGGAAGGGGGTGGGTGGGGTGTGTGTGTTTGAGATTTTGTTTGTTTGTTTGCTGTATTTTTGCTTAGTAGATTCTGTCTACCAAACCCAATAGGGCTATCAGAAGAAAATCCTTTGTCTTAGCAGAAGTTAGTCATTACAAATGTAACCCATCATGACTGTGACATCACCAGATGTTAGACCCACACATTTTGCAAAGCACCTTAAGCATTTTGTCATTATATTCCTAAAAAAGATATGCTGAAATCAAAGCCAAAGTTAAATGAGAATTGTAAGTAATACATGCTAGAACACACCAAAATTAATGATCATAGTGTAATTTTTTTACTAGAATGCCTAGAGGTATAGAGAAAGAAGATCCCCGGCTGAGTAAAGAATGCTGACCATAACAATAATTTACTTTAGCACAGTAACAATTTATGAGTCTTCAAAATTAAGGATAAGGATTGAATTTATGCAGCATAAGATAGCAAAAGCCATAGGGAATTGTATTTCAGTATGGTAAGTAAAAATTAAGCTAACAAAGGTGCAACTGTTTACAAAGTAAGAATAATTGAATAAAAAAATAGTACATATGTGTTTTTCATGATAATAAATGGCCAATTTGACACTCAATCTTGCAATACTTTAAATTAAAATGTACAATACATTGTATTCCTTCCTTCAGCATCCATTTTGAAAATACACTACAGAGCTGAAAAAAACACCAAAGTTGATTCAGTTTTAGTCTTCAGATCTGGACACCCCCCCGCAATGAACCCCTCTTGAAAAAAGAAAAGGTTAGTACTTACCACAGTGACATTGAAAGCATAAAGAAGATCGAAAGGAAGTGCAGCAATTAAATCAATGATAAACCAGGTAGTCACGTAGTGGATACAAATAGATCTTGCTTCAAATATAACTTGGCCAGACTTGCTGACATATGTTGTTCGGAAATTTAAAATAATATCTGCTTGACAGAGAATGAACAGAATCAGAGAAAATGATTTCTTGATTCCTGGGGATAGCACCAGGAATTGTTTTTCTTATGCATGGCAAAAAAACAGATGAAGAATCTAATACAGAAACAGATAAAATATAGTGGTAAGAGATCAACATACACAGAGTTTAACTAATTGATGTACAAAGTTTTTTGTAAGGAGCAAAAAAGAATGTTTAAAGCATTTAAAACTCACCAATTTCAAAGAGAGTTCAAATTTAAAAAAAACCCCAACAGTCATATTGCTCTTTAAACAGCACCATTGGTATTTTTCTTAATGATAAATTAGGGTATGATTGCTGTGCATAAAACATATTTACATTTTTTTTAAGATAAAAAAAACCCCACATTAATTACTTAAAATCTGTAATTGAAACTTTCTTTTAGTCACAAGAGTCTAGCATAGAGAACAAATGTCATCCTCAAGCATAACTTTCCTTATCAACAGAAAAGTGCTGACCTCACTTGAACAAAAAGGCTTTTGGACTACGGTGGAGATCACAAAAGCGATATGAATTGCTTGGTGGTTTGTGCATTTTGTATGTTCCTATCTAACATTCCAGGATGAGTGTCTTTCACTACAAAATACACTTCTGACGTTTCTTGCTAAAGCACATTAACACTCAAAGAAAAGCTCAGGTCTTGACAACAGAGTCTCAATTTTCATGTCCTACAAGACAGACTGTAATCTGTCCTCAAGCTGTGCACCCAGTTTCTACTAACATTAGTGAGAACTACTGTATAACTTTTACAATGTCAGAAAAGAGTGCAGCCAACCATCAAGGCTGGTGTTTTACAGCAAGATAATTAGCCAGCTGCCTTGCAAATTGTAATGCCTCATGCTGAAGACCATCTCATAAAAGAGAAAGAAGCGATCCCAAGTGTTAGGAAGACGTTCAGAGCGTGATTGACTTTTTTCCTCATTAAAAACTAACAACTGCAGGGTGATGGTCTTGGCAGCCTGAAAGCCAGTGGGCTCTCTTTAATATCCAAGTTTTGAGAGGCAGCTTCCTAGATGCTAGTCCAGTGTATAACAGACTTGTCAGCTGTGTTATCTGTAATCTAGGTAGCCTATTACTAAGCGTTACAAGGAGGGAACTTCATTCCCTGTGACGTGTGTCTCTGTCTATGGCAGCAATGGCAGCTTTGACTCCTTTCTGTCTGCTAGATGATGCCCAGTAAGATACATCTTCAGCTGCCTCTTCTACACTCTGCTCTTGCAGGGAGGTAGCAGCAGCAGCTGCTGGGGAATGGCTCTGCATCATATACAGCATGGAGCATTCAGATGTATGGGAAGTGTTTGCTGCCCAAACAGATCTTTCTCACAGCCTCTGGGAAAGGGGACACAGAAATGGCAAATGGAAGCACCTACAACTGAAACTTCAGCCTCTAGCCCACTAGCAGGCTAAAGGTATAGGAACATGAAGTCTGTCTTGCAAAAGGAAATAAACATAGAATATAAGTATTTCGTAGCTTCAGTCTATTCAAGGGATTTTTATTTTTTTTTAATCTTTGGATGCAAATGTCTCCTTTCCTCACAGCTAGTTTCTCGTGCGTTGTATAAACCTGCTCTAATTCAGCACATTCCTGGAAAAAAACAAAAAAAAACCCACAAAAAAACAACCAACCAACCAACCAAACAAACAAACAAAAACCCCCAAAAAACAACAAACCATCAAAACCAAACAACCAAAAAAAATCCACCAAGCTATGAAGTCCTAAAAATTAAGCATACCTCAACTTTTGTCTCTTCATAATTAAAATATAATGAATGTTAACAGTACTGGTATTGTAACTTACTTTTAATTCAAATGAAGTTAGATCTAAAATGTGGGTAATAGTAGGAGTAGTAGATTCATCTGCTCTTGGTTTTGTAGGTAAGTTTCTGGGGCCTGAGAACTTTCCTTTCTGCTATATACACATGAGAATGAATGCCCAATTTCTGATATACATTTAATCCTACATTTTTCATTCAGTGTATGAGAAATGTCAGCAAAGATCAGCACATATGAACAGACTCCCCTCAGAAAGCAAAATTGGAGGATAGATTTTCCAGAATATGAGACACAAAGTACTGCCACCACTAGAGCCATAAAAAGAGCAGTGGGTGAGCTTTGTCCCATTTGCAAGCTTTTCTACAACCTAGACAGAAAAATGCAAAAATGAACATTAAAAGATTTTTTTTCACTATGATTTATTTGAAAATCAAAAATTTGAAAATCACAACTTTATGGTTATATAGAACACGTACAATGAAAATGGAAGACATAAACATTTATGCTGCTCTCTTTAAATTAAGCTGATTTTATTAGTCTCTGATTGTTAGGTATTTTTCCCCTTTCCTGAATTTTTCTATTTATCAAGAACATTCTTTTTCACCTTTCCCATGTTTTCTCTTTTTTTTTTTTTTTTTTTTAATTGTAGTTTTTTTTCTGTGCCGTACTTCTGAAATAAGATGGCTTTGCAAATTAAACTTTTCAATAATAGTCTAGTGAGGACAGCCAACACACAGACTTACAGTAAAAGAGAGTACTGTGAGGCAGAGAAAAAGTATATGACCAGGTTCATCTTAACTGAGTAAATAAACCATTTTAAATGATCCGACACATTATAAAAGCTCAATGGAAAATGCTGCCTCATTGAGACGGCATGGACTGCCAGTAGTCTATATTAATGCAATCTTTCATTTCCAGAATTTTATTTTAGAATCTTCTAGTACTAAAAGAATATTAAAATGGAATTTGTTTGACTCTCACAATACCAATATAGCATTGGAGAGTGTACCTATATGACTCAAATGCTTAGGGCTAACATTGTCTACATTTGGACCAGGCAGATCCACTATTTTATAACTTCTTTTTCATCCCTTATGAACATAGATACTCAAATAGAGCAGCCACACAATCCATGGAGTAATTACTATTGAAGTCCTACAACAGAGTTCACACTATTGTTCTTACAAAGGAGTTTGAAAATTAAATCTATCCACTTAGTAATTTTACTTAGTTGCCTACACTTAATTTTAAATATAATGGAGTAGCCGACACTCAGAAAAATTACTAACTCTTATTCAGGTTTGACCAGGAGATCTGTTGATGTCACTTGATATCTATGACAACATTTCCATCTTAAAAACAGCAATATCAAAATTTCTTTCCTTTAGTGTACTTGTAGAGATGCTTTCCTCCATGTATGCTGTGATGTGCTACTTGCACATCATGATGATGGAGGCTATGAAGAATTGGTGCTAAAAATCTCTACATACCTGGGGGACAAGGTATAGAATGTTTGCCTAAAACATTGCCAATCATTGGTATAATGTTTTACAAAAGTGTCAATTTAACAAACTTGTTTAATTCTACACAGGTTTCCATTGACATATACATTTTGTGAATTTATATTATGTTAAATGATGCACTGAACTATAAAAAGATCTGATGAAATTCATAGCTGCTATGAAACAGTCATGTTTCATTATATAAACTTGATATATTTTCTTCTTAAATGAAAAAAATCCTAACCAGGTTTCAGTTTCATGTCCCTGGAGTTTTTCTTAAAGATTTTTAACTTAATCAGAGAAGCACTTCTATGATAGATCAGCTTCTACAAAATATTAATTAGACTTCAAATGCACATTTAATCAATTTCACTACCAAGTGCATATTTTTCATATATGTATTCCTCACCCTTAAAGAAAGGATAATTCCGTTGTATACTGTTAAAATTTTATAACAAAGAGATGTTAATAGTTCCAGTTCTAAAACATTTTGGTATTTCATGTACTAATTTCAGGTTCTTTAATGTGGATAGTAGAAATTATTTTTCAGTTATATTTCATCCTGTCTTTAACTTTTATGCCTAATCTACAAGCACAAAAAAATAAATGTATGCTTTTTTGCAAGGACAACTTATGCCTACAAAGAGATCAATTACCGAAAAACATTGTCTATTCATATTATGTAAGATGCTAAACACAGCATCATAGGTGCCTTCACTTTCATATAATGTTGTTCTATAAATTTAGTAATAAAAGTTCCTAACTGTTTCTAAAAAATAATAACTATGGACCATGGGATTAGATCTTCTGTGGCAATTCGGGATAAATTAGTGTTGCAATCTATTATACTGGGGGAAAAAAATTATTACTGTTTGGATCTGGAAAATATAATCTTATCATATATTGACACTGTGAAAATCTGACATAATCTAAGATGTGTCCTTGAAAGTGTAAAAGGAACTTTTTTGAAGACCCCAATGGTTTTATCAACATATATGTTTGGAACAAATTTTGAGCATGAATTAACATTCAGGACATTAAAGAAAAAAAATAAGGCTTCCAAGTTAAAAAACCAAAACCTAAAAACCAAACCAACCAACCAACCAACCAAAAACTCACAAAGTTTTAAGATACAAAATAGCCCAGAAAATGCAACTGAAATGTAGAAAAGATCGGTGACCATCAAAATTTCAATTTTGAAAGTGAGAACAAAATGTAATTAAATTTAAATGACTAACAAAACTAAAGATGTATACAGAGTATTATAGTCCACTTCCCTCATTTTCTAAAAAGAAGAAAACTTAAACTCTGGTTTTGAAATGAAGTAGGAAAACATCACTCAAAATGACGCTGCAGATGGTACAGAAGTTTATCATATAACAAAGGAGGCATTGGACATTTCAAGGAGATTTTGAAGACAAAGTTCCACCTAATATTCTAAGTGGAACTTGCTGAGAGCGACTTTCTGAATCACCAGTATTATCTTCTAATAAAATCTCTGAAAATTGGAGAAATGCCAGAGAAATAGAATTTGGCATGATAATTTTAATAATGGGGGGGGGACACACATACAATGACATGGGCCACTAAAAGTGATGATCCAAAAACCAATATATTTGTTAATCATAAGAAAAGCAGATCATTCTATCATATATGTTAAATATATATTAGTAATAACAATACATGTTAAAGTGTTACTAATGCCATAAGTTCATGGAGGGTATGAAATCAACACACTGTCTTTTGCTAAGAAAATGATATGGTTTTGATACAGCTAGCAAGTTGATTGTCACAGAATACTTAGATGTGATAAATTGTTTAAATCTGTATCTTCTTCATTTGAAGGTTTTCATTAACTAGAATGTGGGACACATAAAACAAAAGACATACCTGGCTTTCTGTTCAGTTTCAAAATGTTGTTATTATGGGTTTGTTTATTAACAAAACTGTTTCTAGAGGATTCATCTTGACTGATTAAGTTTACCCCGATACAGTAGTTTTTAACAAAGAAAATGGATGACTATGGCCAATTCAAATCCAAATACAAAATGGATCAAATGTCTCTGTATGATAGGCAAAACCACATCTAATACCCAAGAAGGGAAAAGATATCTGTAGAAGGGGGGATTCTGGCTTGGAAAACAAGGACACAAGAAGAGATTTCTAATAGCTAAGAGTGTCGTTATGGGCTTAGTACAAAGAGGTGGCAAAACCAAGAATATCACCTGTGAATAGAAAACAGTTCATGATTTTGATGAAATAACTACAGCCATACAACTCTAGCACACACACCTCAAGATAAATGAGAAGACAAAGAGAAGAATTACAAAGAACTGCCTGGACTTTACTTTACATGATGTTATAAATTCAACTTTCTTGGATTACTCATCTCCAGAATACTAACAGTACTGACTTCTACTTGTTTTCATCTACTGATAGGCTTCTTAGGCAAAATAGACTACACTGGGCAGACATTGACTTTTGGTAAATTAATTTTGGAAATCAAATGTGGTTTAGCAAAAGAGGTGATGAACTTGCATCATTTGGATTCACATCAAACACATACTGTATAACACAATGTCATACTAAAGATACCTAATTTATGTTCAAGCACAGCGCTTAGGAATATGGACTCATGTAACTTATGTACATGAGGTGAAAATGCATGCATGTAGATGTGCTAGGGAAAACAAAGGCAGGTTTGCCTGTCATGATCATTCTTTGCAGCATTGTGTTACTCTGTTCTCTTTCATTTCATAGCTTTAGAGGGAAAAAAAGGATTGATTTGCATTTTTTCCTACATGTTCTTTAGGTAGGCTACACTAAGACTGGGTAAAGATCTTCAAGTGTGTTAACTATTATACTCAAGAAGCCAAGAAGCAATTCTTCCCCCCACTGATACAATACTGAGGCAAAGAGATGAGGTAGAGAGAGCACAGAGAGAAGACCATGTTGGATCATTCCCTTGAGGTGTCAGAA